GGACATTGTGCTGGTGCGCTCATGTGGGTCACTTTCAAAACACTCCTCAGACATATGACTGTTAATGCACCAGAACAGACGCTGAGCAGTGCACCAGTACGCACACTCCGGTAAACACTCTGCAGCCAGACAACATGCAAACCAGATGATAAAAGCTGACTCAGCCAATTCAAACAAACACAAGCTAAGTCGCATAACTGCATGACGGTTTGGTTACTTTCTCATTTTAAAGCAGCATGTGAATGTGTGCAAGAGCAGTTTCAGCAACATCACCCGAATATAACTTGTAATATTTTTCTGCTATGTATTGTTTATTTTTCAACCAAGCACCAAGACGTAGCAATGTGAGTATTTTCTACCTTCACAATCCCCTTTCAGCAGGAAAGTCTATTCTAGACAGTCTTACTTGTCTAAATATCATGTTAACATAATAGGGAAGGAGGAAAAACACTGTCCCAATGCCAGCCCAAACAATGAGAAAAACTGAAGACAAAGGACTATTCTGCATAAAAGGACTATATCTGCATTGTGACATTGTGACAATATACTACAAACTCTGCATACAACAAAAATGCCAGACCAGACAGAACATTGGCAACAGTATGATGAAGGTCGCTACAGATCTCACACACAGACAAGAGCCATGTGCTCTGGGGGATATCAGCAGAACAAGGCATGCTATGGACTTGCCTTTCATTTCCTTCCATCCTACCGTCCTGACCAAATCTGTAACAGGCATAACAGGCTAACGTTGCATTGTGTCTGAGCAGTGTGGAGTCTGCCTGCAGAAATGCTAGGTTTCACTTTGGGGTTTTACATGCACCTCCACCCTGCACGGAAGCTGCATGTGCCGTCACACGCTTTGACTCTATGTAACCCGCAGCCTGTTTCACCTGCCAATAGGCTTCCCTAGGATCGCAAACTAGCAACCCTTTCCCGGGTCAACATGTTGTTCTACTGTGGACCCAAAGTGAGCAAATAAGTGACACAAGAGATATGCCCGTTCTGGGGGGCACTGTTGTAGGCTAACCAGTGACAAAAGAGGATATTCAAGAAATGAAGGGGCAGTAACCATTATTCTCAGTATGTCATGCTGTACAGCTAATACAGGCAGACAGGCGACTTCCTGTATGATGTCAGGACTTAAACTGGTTTTGATGAGTAGAGACATACAAGCTCAGCCCACTGCAAAAGCTAAAACAAGGCGACTATGCGGCACCCAGTGAACACATGTACTTTAAACTGTATGTTCACAGTGCAAACAATTTTAGCAAGTGGAAACGGGAAAGACAGAATACAGAATAACAACTAAGATGACAGCAACTGCAGGCAAAACCAAATCAGGCTCCGTAAACCAGCACCGACAGACATATGCAGGCTTCGTCAAAACTGGAAGCTTCCTTTTCATTTACACTATAATTACAACTATTTATAAGTCTGCATTACAAATTGCCTGTATCTGGAGAATACTGTGGGTTTTAGGATTGCACATTACATTCCAAGTTCTCTGCATTCAGTGTAGCAGCTTGGGATGATTTCCATAAATCTGAACCAAATTCACGTCACAGCAAAACCGAAGCACATAGCTCGGTTAGTTAAAGGCTGCCGAATTGAAAGCTCTCCATTTTTTCCTTCAAAGCAACCAATATACCATTTTTGGCAGACTACAGCAGGGTTCGTCTTGAAGCCTGTTCCACATCAATAAGAACCACATGAAGCAAGAAGACTGGTCTTTGGGTTCAGAATCCTTTACAGAAATCATTGGGAAAAGCGACCTATTTAACATTCAAAAATAGCAAGATATCGTGTTGACACAGTTGGTAAACAATATATACCCTCCTCTTTGACACAACTATACTGTAATTTGCAAAAGCAAAAGGTACCAAGTTCTGTTCATGCAGGCAGACAGGTAAAGCAAGTCTCACACTACGGCTGTGGCGCAGCAGCAAGAGCTCGTGACACAGGGTCTCCGGATGACATACTTTTTGCATTTTCAAAAACAACCCAATAATACAGACATTAATGTTAGTAAGATAAAAGCCTAGAGAAAGTAAACAGACAATATTGTCACAATTTTCTTTAACATATTGAATCTAATCTGCAAAACTAACTGGGCATAAGGGATCTTCTCATTTGTAATTTTTCCCCATTGTAAGGTAGGAACAATAATATTTCATTTTACTACACATTTACTGAAACAGGCCCACAGACAATTGTTCAATTATGCATACATGGGTCATTCGGCTGGTTACCCAAATAAGAAAATCTGTATCCAAGTACTTCTCATTTCAACTGAAAAACAACAGATGAGTAGAATTAAACGCGAAATGCAACAGACATAATCCATCAACTGAAAATACAGGTGGAACCATTTCAAAAGAATGACACCTGAGGATTCAGGGCAAAATTCTGCTGCCTGACAGAGTGAAGTAAAATTTGGATGAGCAGAGACCAAGGGAAAGCTTTCAACTTGGCTTGTGCGGTTTGACAATACTATCTCTAACTGACGATAATAGGCAAGTAACCCATCCGGAGTAGAAAGGGACTCCCTCCTGGTCAGCGTTCCAACCCCTCCCCCCTCCAAATGCAGCACAGTGGGACCTTGTCTTTCATGTCTTCCTTTTGGCTGAAAAATGTAAGTGGCTCGCTTGGTGCTGGGTGTGTGCATGCTTGTCCATGTGGGGACGACGACTAGATATCATTTATCCTGACATTTCATTTAAAATACTGCACATTATTGTTTTAGACATCAAGACCTATTCTCAACGTTATATCTAAACAGAAACAGTATTAAATTCTGACATTTGCTTATTTTTATTACATTTTAATACCGTACTTTGTAGGAAGCAGAACCTATGAACTACTTCAACCATCCAGTTACTTAGACACTAAAAATCTAAACATATAAACTTCCTGAAACAATTGCTGCTCTGCTAAATGTTTAAAGGGTTTGAAGTAGAGGCATAACAGGCCATAGTTGATCCATGACCCGTGTCGAATTACAATTTTTGTTTTCCCAAAATAACTTTTGTTTTTTTTCTGATCAAGAAAACTCGTGATCTCGAGAAAACTTTGGCTATGTTGAGATCACAAGCAAAACAAGTTGTGATCTCAACACAAGACATAAGATAATGATGGATATCCTCTATGCACTTCCGTATGATACAGAGTTGCAGTGAAAAGATGCAGAGAAAGCAGTGATGTGCAAGTTCCTTAAGAGTGATTTCAGTAAGAGATGAAAAGCAAAAAAATTGTCGTTGTCCCTACCCCCCCAACTGAAAAACATTGATACAATCCAAACCACAAGTTTTATGATCTGTTGCACCACTAGTTTGAAGTACTTTAACTGCTCAAGACTAGATACATTTGTAAACTGAATGATCAGTAATAATCCTAACTGGCAAAGGGCATACATGATACTTCATATGAATAAAGCACAAGAATAGAGTTAAACTATGAATAGAGATGAGCGACATAAGATGAAGTTACAGGGTGTCCTTTTTGTTTTACTACTTAACTAGTTACTTAAATCTACATCAAACTTAAGAGTTACAAGCTGTTATTTAATTTAAGAATTATTAAAGTGACAGACTGCAGGCATTATTCTTAGAAAAGGATCTTCTAGAAGCTTAATGGTCTAAGTGACAAAAATTAATAGATGACATTAATTCAGAAATATTCTCATTACTTTTTACATAACTTTAGCATTTGAATGGCTAAGTCTCTAGATCCTCATTGCATCCACAGTGGGTAACTGCCATCAACCATTTAAGCATAAAGCATGTAGAGCCTTAGCTAACTTAGCTAAGTTTCCAGGCACTGATGTGCACAAAACCCCGGTACACACCTAAACCCACCCTTTGTGTCAATACCTAATGATAGTATAAAGTTAAGTGGTTTTTCAGAAGAAACTGCCAGTGACACAAATGCTAAACTTATCTATTGCCATTTAATCAGAACAGCAGCTAGGCATGCCCCTGTATCTACATATCGTGCGGTTGACAGAAAAACAACCACCACGAAATAAAATGACAAGAAAACGTCTAGATGAGGCTACGGAAATTGTTTCACTTGGTACATATTCACCCAAAACGATGCACGCCCACCGTTTTGCATCTCGTTGCGACTGGGTTTTTCCAAAAAGCTTGCCCGGGGTTAGCCATGATTCATTTAACGTGGGATACTTTCACCGTCAACTTTGGGTCCCGGCGTGAGAACAAATTTCAGGCCGTGGAATATACCCAACGTGCGCCCCTGAACACCAAACACAAAGGAAGTTCAGCCGACGCCGAGACGGACACCGTTTGGTCATGATCGACTAATCGCTGCGTCGAATGTTACGCGGGACGCGACGTTACTCATTCGGTCCAAGCGGGTGTGTGGAGTCAAGTCCCACTCATCACGGCGTTGCACGCGGGGCTACACCCAGCGCGTGCATGGAGTCAAGTCCATTGACTCCCATTCACCGTCTTATACACACACTGGACTGTCCACCGTGTGTGTGTAGTCAGGACCCACGTAACACCTGCACACACCGGGGGCCGCACTCCCCACGGTGCCCAGACACAGCCAAAGCGGCAACGGCAGCCGTTTTTGTGCCACAGACGGGTGATGGAACATTAGGAGGCATTCAGCCAACTCTAACGCGGCCACAGAAAAGAAAGACCTTATCTTATTCGCTTTTGAAGTTGTTTCAAATCATTCACGTAGGGTCGACACACACACACATACACATACATACTAAACACTTTTTGTAGAAGCTCCTGACTTTTTTCGTATTAAGTTATGGGCCAACATATAACTGCCAGTCATAGCCCTCTCCTCAATAGCTAGCTGGCTAACTTAATTACACGGATAGCAAAGAACAAAGTATGTATTAAACAAAGTAACTGAACTCGAACTATATAAATTTATATAAATTTTATCCAGAGTGATTTAACTCGAACCAAAGAACACAAAAGCTAACGGTATAGATAGATCATTTCCATCGTCAGATTTACCTTGTTACATTACGGTGTCTGAAACCAGAAAGACAGTCATTCCAGTTGAAAATCTGCCGTGAAACCAGGCGGGGATTTTCTTTCCGAAGTTCCCCTTCTTTTTAAAAGGAGAAAGACGGCTAACCAGCGAGCTAACTAAACCTGCGATAAAAATTAAGCGACAAACCTTGCGGCTGAAATCAGACTCGCCCTACACATCTCTCCTAAGAAACACATGATTTAAAACTAAGTTGTCAAGTTACCAAGGGTCCAAAGAAATAATGGACTGAGAAAAAAAATTATGAATTTAAACTCAATCGCCCTAAGAAGAAATGCACTTCCTTTCTCACAGTCCCTCCGTATGACCAAGTGGGAGCTTAAAAAAAAAGTTATGAGAAGCCACAAGCCAATTTCATACAAATACATTTGGGTCACTGTTCATTACCTTTCACTTGCGCCCCCAACAGGACGGAGGACAGTATTATCTTCTGATGGCCTTGGAATTGTTAGTATGAGGCAGTACCGCGTGAGTTTTCGAATGTTTTTAGTGCAGCTATTTGAATAGCGCTGTTTCATCATACCTCCAGGGTTGGGGGTTTGAATCTCGATTCTGATGTGTGGATGTGCAGTTTGCATTTTCTCTCCATCTTGTGTCCATTTTCTTCCAGGAATATTGGTGTCCATTCTACCTCTTGTAGCTTCTGCCACCTTGTACAGATAACTGATTAGAATCTGGATGTATTGTTGTATAAAACGTATAAATAATACAATAACTCCTACTGCTTGGGCACTAACTACACATGTGTAACAGCTACAAATAGGCCTGGAAGGGTATGTAGGTACAGGAGGAAAATTAATCTGAGGTCAACAGTTCAAGATCTACATGCTTTATATGTTACATAGAGGCATGAAGCATTTAAAAGCTCCTACTGTAAGATAAACCCAAAATAGAACTATCTGGCTATGTATAGTGTCAGCAGATTTGATGTCCAAACATTGGCAAACAAAGTAAGAGAACATACCTACTGTAAACTATGACAGTGTGATCACTGTATGTTCACAGTGCTTTCAGGCTGTTTAGTTGCCAGTCGTCGGCGGACTGTTCCTCAAAGATCAATGATACAATGATTTCCATTAAGTGACGGGACATTTTAGCTAAAAACCCCAGGTGAATCTGCCAGGAATTAGATTTATTTACATTTACAGAAGATAATATCAATATAATATCTCAAAATTTATGTAGTTATAAATTATATAGTTTTGTGAGAACAAAATTTAATATTTAACTAAATTCTATTTAAAAAATCATTAAGGGTGTTTTGTCTGTAAAATATCATATTCCATGCTTTGAGCACAGCCTGTTGGTACGTAAATGAAACTACAACCCGAATTGTTTTCTAAAGGCTGTATTTACAGTGAAGTACCAAAAGGGGCCGGTAAAAAACCGTATAATGTCTTAGGAGCTTCGCGCGAGGAGCTGAGGATGCAGTCTTTATTCGTATCTTATACGTTAAATCGTTACGAGTTATGGTAATTTAGCTCAGCAATAGGTGTTAAAAGAAAGTCAAGTTCATTTAAGAAATTTGTCTATAGTCAGATGTTTCAAACACCAGATTACATACAGCTAAATGACTTTTTATGCCCCAACGGAAGTAAACTCACCTCATAGACACCCAGATATTGATGAAAGATAATAGCATCGTAGCAGCATAGCACTTACCACATGCTGTCTGCTGCCCAGGTACTTCAAACCCCCCGGTTTAGTGAGGTGAGTCGCTTTTATTCTAGTTTAATGGAAAAAGTTTTCTAAGGGAAGTACGTACAGCATGGTACCTCGTGATATGACCATTTGCATACCTCCGCCAGGCAGCCGTGTCTGCATGTTGTTATATCACATGATGTGAATAAAAAAAGAAGAGCTATGGTAAAACCACAGTCACAAAAGAGTAAAATAATTTTTTTTAAAGCAATAATATCGCAATTAGTGATAGCATTAATCATGATGAAGTACACTGATATTATGAGTCTTTGTTAACACAGTACAGAATATACCGCAACATTTATTAAATCAGTTTCTTGTGCTGACTAAAGACGGGATAGCAGATATATAGTTGTCTGAATATCCGTGTAGCTTATAGCATAGCGCTGCAGTCCGTCTATCCCAGGATGCAAGGGGCAGGGGACTCCCTTGACAGGCTGTCATTCTGTTGGAGATCTCCCACTTCCACACACAGCCAGAGGACAGGGACAGCTTAGAGACACTGGAAACTGGAGACCCACGCGGATAGAGTGAGAACAGGCGAACTGCACACAGAATGGGAGTGAAATGCACAGCCCTCGCGGTGTGAGCCCTCAGTGCTGCCCTCTGGCATCACAAACTCTCCATTACTTATCCAATAATGTTTTTTGCTTTTGTTTGTATATAGAAATATATAGTTTTGATTCCCCACTTTATGTTATTTCACAGTGTAATTTCTAATGAAATCTTATTTTCTTCTATCAATGGTGTTTTACATCTTCAAATTTGCCTAGCAGTCATTTTCAGATGTTTTTTTAGTGCAGGCAATAAATCACATCTACTTTCTTCTTGGTGAAAAAGTTCAGTGCAAAGAAGTTTGCAAAGATCCACTGTAAAACCCTTGAGCTTGTTTAATGGGTGAAGCACAGAATACACGTCATGGCCTGGGGTACTGGGGCTGAGGATGGTGAGGCTCCGGTTCCGCTTCGTTTTTGCCTTATTGAACAGAACCGAGGCACAAGGAACAAAAGCGCACAGTGTTTTTTTGGCTTGTGGAAGCAGCTACAGAAATGTGCTGTGAGGCTATATCTAAACATTGTAGGAGTGGAAATAAACTGCTTTCACATTGTTAATGTAATCGTACTTGGAGCTCTGGAATATGCTAAATTGATAATAGGTTATTGCACTAGTACTATTGCACAAGCGTTCATTTATTTTTCCAATCACTTATCCAATATAGGGTCACGAGAAGCCTATCCCACGAAGTCAAGGGCTCAAGGTACGGGAAGACCCTCAGTGCGAGGCAGGTGTGCACACAGGGTTAGTGCACACAGGGTTAGTGCACACAGACATAGACACAGACACACACACACAGTGGAGGTGAGATAAACCACCCCAGCCGTCAGGCCAGAACTTGAAGGCCGTCCCGATAAAAGCCAAAAAAACACAAAAGGTTCAGCAAAACCTGAAATGGCAACTCCAGAAACAGAAGCATGTGGAACTATTCAGACCCACCTCTGGCTGTGTGCCTTTAAGGGAGCCAAGATGAAATCAGAAATCGCCGTGCATGGAGGGAAACGCCACTGCTGATGGAGTCTGAGGAAGGATGAAATGCAGATTGGATGGTCTGCTCCCAATTTTGGCTTCCAAACCAGTAAAACTTTACAAGATTAATATGGAGAAAAATGAGCCAAACGACGCTCACCCCGCTAACAGACACCCCATCACTAATAAAGCGTGACACGAGAATAGTGCGAGGGCACCTATGGTCTGCTTACTGCAACCCACTTCACTCCTAGTTTGCGCATCAGAGTTTTGTAGGTCACAGAGTTTTAGGAACCCACACCTCACTGCACACGACTCTGAGGGTCCGTGTTGTTCATGACACCCAAATGACACCCTCTCAAACCTGCACCACAGAGTTACCCAGGACATGCATGAAGATGCATAATAACTTGCTGAGCTAAACCAAGTACTGGGGGATTTAAACTTCAGGTAAACAGGAAGCGACAGTCAGATGTGGTAACCACCCTCTTTCTGTTTCATCACATTTAACGTCATCATAAATCATTTTAAAATCCGTCGCAAGTTTTGTCAACATATATAATAACCATTAAGGAGAAATCTTGCATGAATTTTGCATCCATGTGTTCCTCGTAATGATGTACACATGATAAAGCTTTGTCAAAAATATTGGTAACGTTTTACATTAACTGCACCATCATAATGCATCCAGACAACATTCATAAGCAACATGTATATATACCTTAACATCCTAACATACCTTAACAGCTTTAATATACATTAATATCATGGGTACAATTATAACATTTGTTATTATTATATAACATTTGGTATTAATGAAAATTAATACTAATACTAATACTAATTAATACGATTAATAATAAAAATTATTGTAAAGTGAAATGTCTGCATGTTGTATGTATGTTGTCTTGAGTGCACTTGTCCCTTATGTCCGCACATTGAGCCTTGGAGAAACGCAATTTCGTTCTGCCTGCATCTGTCTTTGTACTGTTGTATGGTGTGAATGACAATAAAGTTTCACTTCACTTCACTAATGTTTAATAAAGCTGTTATGTTACGATGTCACTGTCAATAACCCTATTTCAGGATTAAATTCAACAGCCATTGAACTTTAGCCCTGCTAAAATCAGAGTAACTGCACCTCCTTAATGACCGATGTACACAGATCTGTTTTTGTTTAGCTTTCTGCCATTGCTGGTTGTGGTGTCCTTGTTACAGTGGTTGATGTGGTACATTCAGGCTTGATTCTCTGTGAAAGCACTTAATCCTGGGGTTAAATGAACATCTAACCATGACCCCAGGGCCACAGAATCCATTTAACATATAAAAACACATTCCCAGCCACAATATCCATAAGAACATAAGAACTATACAAACGAGAGGAGGCCATTCGGCCCATAGAGCTCGCTTGGGGAGAACTTAACTAATAGCTCCATATCGACCTAACAAACAACTGGTTGGCTTTATCTTCAATGCAGTTGACAAAACAAAAAGAGCTAAGAAATCCTTCACTAGACATACTCGTACCTGCCACCTTAGATATGCCATGTCATGGAGCTTATTTACTAGCATGAATGGCAAATAAATACTCTCACTGGCCACTTTAGTAGCTACAGTACACCTTGCTAGTACTAGTTTGGAGTCCCTTTTATTATTAATAATAATAGATACTTTATTCATCCCCATGGGGAAATTCTCTTTTCACCTCCGCCATCTTGCTCTCCATGCAAGCAAGCTTGGCTGTGAAGGGCAGCCACCTGTTGCGGCACCAAGGGAGCTGGGGGGGGGGGGGGCACAGACGTGCCGAGGCCGGGCTTTAACCAACAACCTTCTAATCACGGGCACAGGGGCTTAGCTCACTGAGCCACACACTGCCCAGATTATCTTCAGAACTGTCTTAATTCTTCGTGGCACAGATTCAACAAGGTGCTTGAAACATTCCTCAGAGACTTTGGTCCATGTTAGCATGATAGCATCACGCTGCACCATCATGATCTCCCGTTCCACCGCATCCCGTAAGTGTGAGTGGACTGAGATATGGAGACTATGGAGGTCATTGGAGCACAGTAAACTCATTGTCACATTCAGGTAAGCAGTCTGAGATGATATGATCTTTGTGACATGACACGTCAGCCTGCTGCAAGTAGCCATTAGAAGCTGGGTTCACTGTAGTCATAAAGGGATGGACAAGGTCAGCAACGATACTCAGGTAGGCTGTGGCATTTAAACGATGCTTTAAGGGTCCTAACAGGCCCAAAGTGTGCAGAGAAAATATCCCCCACACCATTATACAACCACCAGGCTGAATTAATGATACAAGGCAGTTTCTGAAATACACCAGCCTCTCTGTTACCAACAACCACACCACCTTCACTTAAATCACCTTTCTTCCCCATTCTGGTGTTTGATGTGAACATTAACTGAAGCTCCTGACCTGATTCTATGCTGCTGACGTATGATTGGCTGATTAGATATTTGCCTCAATGAGCAGTCAAACAGCTGTACCTAATAAAGTGGCCAGTGAGTGTACAGACCCAACATGAATGGCTACCAGGTGACGCAGAGGATAGCACAGCGGCATTAGACCTCCAGGGTTCAGACCCCTACAGCAGTGTGTTCAGTTTACCTCTTCGGCTTGTGTTTGTTTGAGGTTTCTCTGCATTGTCTTGTTCCCATTTGAGTTGATGTATTTAGATTTCCCATTGCATGCACCGTGTGATGAGCTGGTGTCCTGTCCAGGGTGCCCACTGCCTTGCAGCCTGTATGCCCCCCTAGGCCCTCCATAGCCCTCCATAGCCCTCCATAGCCCTTTACCCAATAAGTGGTTATAGTAATTGGGTGTGTCAGTGTTTATGAGTTGAACGCTTCGAAAGAGATGCGCGATGGTGAAGTGGTTAGCACTGTAGCCTCACACCTCTGTGAGACGGGTTCAGGTTTCCGCCGCGTACACACCAGCCCTTTGCGGATACGGATGGCCACCCCTAGTCTAGAACCTCCATCCTGGGTTGTTCCCATAGGCTCTGCACCCCACTATAGCTCTGGATGGGACGAGGGGTTACAAAAGATGGATGGATGGATGGACACTTCTAAAGGGTTCAAATTCTTCAGAAAGGATTGCATGATCTACACACAGCAACATCAGTGGCTTATAGTACAGTACTATAACGATGATAATAAAACAGCTACTTTCTACAGAAAATACATCTACATGAACAAATTTGTATTTTTCAGTTCCCTCCATAAAATCTGCGGATGTCACAGTCGACGTTGCTAGAGGTTCTGTGGATTAAGGGCGTCTTTTTCTCTTTACAGTGCAGGGCGTAGTTTGCACTTCAGGATGTGGTGTGTTTTTTCTAAGAGGATTTATTTTTTTTCACAAACCTCATTTTTTTTTTTTGTAGTGAGGGTTTTGATGTTGCAGATGTGGAGGTATAAACAGGACAATATAAAATTCTGACTAATTAGGTTGCATCCTTATTATGTTTCTGAAAACATTGTGGTTTTACTAATCATGTTGGTCTGTAAAAATATCTGCGATGATCAGCCAGCAAAAGTCATTGGGTTAAACAGGAGCAGTGTAAACAGGATTCACTTTGAGTGTCGCCATGTAAAAACAGTCATATTAGTAGAAGTTTGCTCAATCATTTGGTCATTTGGAAAATGTTGGAATGAATCTTAAATATTTACATAAAAACCAATATAGTGCCTCAGTGCATATTGTTCTGACCTGGGATCAAAAACATGCAATTTGGTGAATTAATAACTCTGGCTGCTGTGTGTATTTGTGTGTGCCCTGTGATGGACTGGCATCCCATCTGGGGCGTCACCCTGACTTGTGCCCTGTGATGGACTGGCATCCCATCTGGGGCGTCACCCTGACTTGTGCCCTGTGATGGACTGGCATCCCACCTGGGGCGTCACCTGACTTGTGCCCTGTGATGGACTGGCATCCCACCTGGGGCGTCACCCTGACTTGTGCCCTGTGCTTCATGGGATCGGCTCTATTCTCAAGGATGTGAGTTTATGAAAAATGGCTGGATAAAAATACTTGTACTGCTGCATTATTTATATATACCGGCATGACCACAGGTGTGCCAGCGTGGCGACCTCGATCACCCCTGTGTGGCCGCAAGGAGAGGGAAGGAGAGAGGGAAACAGGAACTGGACACAACATACTGAGGATGCCAGGACACCGTCCAGGAACATAGCACTCTGCCATACCTGCCCATCACAAGAAACACACACACATTCTCATACAATATGGTCAATTTCGAGATGGCAGTTTATCTAACTGTAAGACTTGGGGAGGAGACGGGGGCAGTGAAGAGGAATAGCAGGACATGCAGGGGGGTGGAATGCCGACATGTACAGTACATGGTAGTGTGTAGACTAGAATCCGCAACCCGGCAAGTGTGAATCAATAGTGCTTACCCACGAGCCGCGGTGCTGCCCCCACGCCGTACATTGATATATAGCATTTATCAAATAGATATATATTAGGCCATTGTTGAGAATGTAAAAAATTATGTCAAAGAGACAGTACAGAGAGAGCAGACAGTCAGCAATTCACTGATCTGTTTTGCTAGTTGCATCACAGTTCGTCACTTGGAGCATGTGCTGCATCGCCAGAAGATGAGGGTGGCCAACAGCTGCATTGTCCTGCTCTAAGCAGCTTATAAAGCAGCTCTTCATTTCTCATCTGGTAGATCCAGCAAATGAGACTCTGAACCTAATACGCACAGACAAAGAAATCTGAGAAGGCAATTGTACATAAAGTCAGCAGAAGAAACAGGGTGTGAGGAAAAGTCACGTACAGGCTTGTTGTCTGCAACATGGTCCACAGCAGTTGACAACTGTCTAGCGATATAACTACTGAAACGACTTTTCATTTCCTCTTACAGTGCTGAAATACGCATGTCACCTACACCTGCTCTCGGAGCCTGTTCTTAATCACAACGCGTCTCTCACTGTCGCTGAACTGCAGCTAATGCCGAGAATGAACTTTCGCATCGATCTTTCCTTAAAGTTGGGGAGGGGTCTGTGTAGCAGCTGCGATGTGTGCTATTCACCGTATACATACTGCTCAAAAAAATTTAAGGAACACTTTTAAAACACAACAGATCTCAATGGGGAAAAAAAAAATCATGCTGGATATCTATACTGATATGGACTGGGTAAAGTGCAAAGCAGGGGCGCCGCCAGGGGGGGAAAGGTTAGAACGATTCTAGGGGCCCAGCACTGACATGGGGCCCTGTTAGGGGCTTTACCTTTTCGCAAAAAGGGGGGGGGGCAAAATTGTAATCTTTCATGGGGCCCAAGATTTCTGGCGGCGCCCCTGGTGCAAAGGATGATGGAAATGAAAATGATCAACCCACAGAGGTTGAATTCAAAGTCACCCCAAAAATCAAAGTGACAAAATGATGTGGCAGGTTAGTTCATTTTGCAGAAATTTCATTGCAGCAACTCAAAATCGTACTCAGTAGTTTGTATGACCCCCACGTGCTTGTAGGCATGCCTGATAATGTCGGGGCATCCTCCTAATGAGACTATGGATGGTGCCCTGGGGGATCTCCTCCCAGATCTGGACCAGGGCATCACTGAGCTCCTGGACAGTCTGAGGTGCAAGCTTGCGGCGTCAGATGAACTGAAACATAATGTCCCAGAGGTGTCCTATTGGGTTTAGGTCAGGCGAGCATGGGGGCCAGTCAATGGTATCCATTCCTTCATGCTCCAGGAACTACCTGCATAATCTCGCCACATGAGGCCGGGCATTGCCGTGCACCAGGAGGAACCCAGGACCCACTGCACCAGCGTAGGGTCTGACAATGGGACCAAGGATTTCATCCTCATACCTAATGGCAGTCAAGGTGCCATTGCCTATAATACTCATTTCTTCAAAGCACCGATATTGTGTTAATTTCTTCAAAGCATTGAACCGCAGTCATGGCTGTGTATGCAATAGGCTATCCTGCTATCCTCCTTTGGATATCGTGCACATTGAACAAAGCACTTAAACAGCCTGCTTTGATGTATTCCCTTTTTCAGCAGAAAACATAAATATGAAACATGGTACGCATAAATATTGCTCATCAATTTTCGAATATGACAAGAATAAATGAGTATTGTGTCAGTATGGCCGGACTATACTCCTCGAGGTTTATATGAGTGCATGGAACTGAAGAGCGATGGCAGAATCCAGTGCGGCTTTGTGCAGCTGGGTGTAGCAAAGTGAGAAACCTCAGAGTATCGTAAAATAATTGCAGTAGGGAGTGGTCTTTTTTTCAACAGATTGTCAGCAGTTCCTGTTTTGGCAAAAGAACCTCTGAGAATTATTGGGCAAATCTTGCAAATATCAACCTTTTGTAAGAAGCTTGGTGTGGTGCCATTATAGTGACATGGACCTGTTCCAGATCATTGAAGTGACTTCCGCACAATCACAATCAAATTCTGTTTGCTTTTCTTTTTTTTTTATTATTATTATTATTATTTTTGTTTGTTTTTTGCAGTCTTTTAAAATAATTCCCCAAGAACATCATGCCTGAATGTTCCTAGGGTTATTTGAAATAGGACGCAGTCTTCCGAATGTCAGTGCAACTCTCAGCATCAGCATAATAGTCATTCGGTGACCCTTTGTGAACATGCTTACTTTTTGCAGACGGCTGTCAGCTGGGTTGATACGGTGGCTTTTTTCATGTGGAGTTTCTGCGTCTGCCTTGGGTGGGTCCAGTCTGAGAAGCGGCACTTCCTTCCCCCTCAGATATAGATGTGAAAACATCTGCCCAAAGCTGGCAGTCAGAGGGGATGACAGTCAGCATCAAGGCACAGTGACAGCAGGCTCTCAGCACAGGGGCATCAACAAGTGAGTCAATCTGCATTACTACACACACTCTTTCCAAACTCCCTGGGCAGTAGCACACTGTGCCTAAAGGCTTTATACCGAACCATGTATTTCATGTAAAGCTTTAATAATCGTACCTGAAAATGAAGTATTTTACTTTTAATTTTTTATTGTATTGTATTGGAATTAGAAGACATTTTTAGATTATTATGTTAAATTATAATCTAGATTAGCAGTCTGGATTATGAAACATGGATTATATATGAAAAGATTTAAAGAGCACAATCAAAGGGATAACAAGAATTGACATTAATTCAGTAATGTTAGTGTTAGTAATTGTGTTTTTAGAAATATTTATGCATATGTGTCTAACCCATTTCGCAGTCTGGGCAAAATTTGTAAAATGTTATTTCAACATTAATTTAACATCGTAGGAATGAGGATTTGCCATTGATCCTTTTTTTTCTCCTTGATAAACTCAGTTAAGATGTTTTATCTCAAGATAAAATTTCAAGCCTGCTTTTTCTGGTCTTTGTTTGCTTTAAATGGACCAGTGCTGCTGTTTGTAGGAAGTTCTATCAGGTGGATTTGATCACTGCACCATGCTTAGAGGGGGACAGTGACAGTGACAGCTGATGTCTTTACGTCTTCACGCGCACTGCAGGTGTCATCTGAACTCTCAGCTCTCCCGGCCCGTCATTGACACCCCCAGTAAGACCGTGAGAGAGAGTGAGAGCTGCCAGAGGACCTGCCCTGCTCCCTGAGTACCACAGCGCCCCTCCATTGCCATGCAGATCCTGAGCATCGCGGGCTTCTGCCTGGAGCCATACGGGAAGAACAGCAGCAACGTGGTGCTGGAGCACTACAACCACACGGGCCGGCTGCAGAACAGGAAGCCGGAAGGCAGCGGAGTCTCCCTGACCAAAGCCGTCTTCCTCGGCATCAGCGTGCTCATCATCCTGGAGAACCTGCTGGTGCTGATAGCCGTGCTCTTCCACATCCGGAAGCGCCGTCGCTGGGTCTACATCTGCATCGCCAACATCACCCTCAGCGACCTGCTCGCCGGCGTCGCCTACGTGGTCAACCTCCTGATGTCTGGCAGAAAGACCTTCGAGCTGAGCCCCAGCCAGTGGCTTTTCCGTGAGGCGGTTCTCTTCGTGACTCTGGCAGCATCCATCTTCAGCCTGCTGCTGATCGCCGTCGAGAGATACACCACCATGATGAAGCCCCTGCGCCGTAAGTCGGACTGGAAATCCTACCGCATCTATATCTTGGTGGCCCTCTGCTGGTTGACAGCCTTTATCATGGGTTTCCTGCCCCTGCTGGGCTGGAACTGTATCTGCCAGAAGGACAGCTGCTCCACCCTACTGCCTTTGTACTCCAAAAGCTACATCTTATTCTCCCTCGTCGTCTTCTTTCTCATCCTGACGGGAATCGGCGTGCTCTACGGCGCCATCTACTGCCACGTGAGGCGGAGCACGGAATTCGGGCAGATACCCAGCCGCAAGCGCTATCTGCAGCTCTTAAAGACAGTCATCTCCATCGTGGGAGTCTTCCTGGTCTGCTGGGGACCACTTTTCTTCCTGCTTCTGGTCGACTACTTCTGCTACTCGCGCACGTGTGGCCCGCTCAACAGCGCCGACTGGGTGATCACCCTGGCGGTGCTCAACTCGGCCATCAACCCCGTCATCTACTCGCTGGGCAGCACCGAGCTGAGGCGGTCCATTGCCGGCCTGCTGTGCTGCAGCTGCGTGAAGGCAGGCCTCTGCAAAGCCAGTGCCTTCCTGTCCAAGGAGACCGACAGCACGTCCGGCAGCTTGAACCGGCAGAGCAGCCTACATAACAGTTTCAGCAGGGTGAGGGGCATGAGCACCAGCCCCCAGCCCCCAGCTAAAGCCAAGAAGGTCCGCCTCAGCTCCACCACCTCCTGCTTATCAGTGTCGAGCAGTTAGACCACAAAGCCCCAACCTTTGCAGCTCCGCCCAAACCCCTACCTGTTGACTGCAGAGTTTCTCAATCCGGTCCTCAGGGACGCGCAGAACTTATGAGTAGGGAAAAGAAAAAAATCTGTTGACAGCAGATGGTCCACATTTCTGCTCCCTCCCAGCCCTCTGTGAACTGTCGGACAGGGAGCTGGAAGGGAGCAAAAACATGGACTGTCTGGCAGGGAGCTGGGAGGGAGCAAAAACATGGACGGTCTAGCAGGGAGCTGGAAGTGAGCAAAAACATGGACAGTCTGCTTTCAACAGATTTTTTTTCCCTACTCATCAGTTCAACTCAACAAAAACTGCTTTGTTTACTTATTTTTTTCATCATTGAATCATCAACTGTTTTAAAACTATCGCCGAAGCACAATCTTTAGAAATAGCTTATAAATGCACAACAGCTCTTGCAGGCTCATTTACACACAGACACACACACACACAATGTTGACTGAGGGTGGCAAGTACGTAACGTAGGCTTAATGTATTGAGTTTCTGTGATGAATGTATGATTCATTTATTCCTTACTGAGGGATAGATGTGTATAAAAAGACCATAAAAAACTTTTGTGAATGGACTGGTATGATGTTCTAAAAGCACTGTATTTGAATGCATTTCATATTTTTCTATTAATAAACTGGGATATCTCATATCCTAGTGCTATATCAAGATATTTTTTTATTTGAAAAAAATTTAAAAAACTGTGGGCCGAATCTAATAAATTTGGTATAGACTTCTGTTCTGAGACGGGCACTGAGACGGGCAATGAGAGGGGCAATGAGACAGGCAATGAGAGGGGCACTGTGAATGCACTGAGATGGCACTGCAATGGGCACTGAGACGGGCAATGAGAGGGGCACTGTGAATGCACTGAGATGGGCAATGAGAGGGGCACTGTGAATGCACTGAGATGGCACTGCAATGGGCACTGAGACAGGTAAGTTTTCATGAGCCAGTGACATGACAGAGGGTTTAGGGGGTTAATATACACCCCTGATGTGTCTCCATCTGCACTTGCTCAGCCCCTGTTTCCAGCAAGAGATGCCACATACATTCCTGACCTTAAATCCCACTTCCCACTATTAATTCCCTCCATACATCAAATCAAATCAAATCACTTTTATTGTCACGTCATTTGTCACCAGTACACAGGTACTATTCATGTGCGTGAAATGCTTGTGTGCAAAGCCTCTCGAAGTAGCTGTAGTATGACATCATCCATCCATCCATCCATCCATCCATCCATCATTTGTCATTCATCAGTCCACCCAGCACTTATTCAGTACAGGGTGGCACGGAGCTTGGATCCTATCCAATGAAACGCAGGGCACCAGGCAGTAAGTGAATACTCTACATGTGCCATATTACACAATATACAAGAGGAAATGAGGATATGCCAGGCAGCGTGGGAAGGGTTACTGTGCGCTGTCAGTCCTCACCAGGTTTAACCCAGTCGGAACCAATAAAGCAACAAATGGGAAGCGGGTGAAAGTGCTTTCTGAGCGTGCTCAGTAAGTCACACTGCGTGATACAGCCTCAATTCTCTCATGGCCGCCATTCAATATATATAACATTTACAATAATGCCAGCCAATGTCAGGGCTAAGTCACTCAATGTCTTTTCCGCCGCATTGCATGGAATACTGTTTTCCTACAGTTATACAGAAGGGTTTTGTGTGTAATGGTGAGGAAGGTAAGTACAGCACATGACTAATGCTCTTCTTTCTTAAATGCAATAACTATCCCTCTTTGCACGCTCCAGTTCACTGTAATTTTAGAAGCTTAGATCTGCCTTTAAAGGAGATTGGGCTGGTAATTATGGAAAACTGAAGACACTTGAGACAGATTCCCCTGCAGGGGCGGGTTACATTAGGCATTTTGTACATTCTGTCAAGTTGGTCTGAGTGAAATAAAAACCTCATGTAGAGAACAGAAGGGGGGGGGGGTTCCCCTTCAGCAATGTGAGTTTAGTTTGCAGTGACGTAGCACGGCCATGCAGTGGAAAACAAAGGCATCTTTGTGACTGGGCTGCCTTGTCACCCCCCCTCTCCTCTTCACTTTCTCTCCTGGGCTGTTTCACTCTCTCTCTCTCTCTCTCGGACATCGTGTCAGACCCCCATCCACACAGGAGCATCGGGGGTGCGGTCTGGGGAGGTGAGGGGCCACACACTGAAGGGGCATCACAGTCAGCGACGTGTCCATGCACTTGAGATTGCGTCCCGTTTTCCTGCTCTCTACCCACGCATACATTCGCAGGCAGATGATCTGAGTGCAGACATCTGGGGCTTCACTGCTAGTTTGGGAATTACTGTGATTGGATCCAACGCAATTCACATTTTGACGGAAAAGGAGAAACCGTAAATGTGTCAAAGACGTCACGTTTTTTTTTTCCACCCATGCAACATCAGTGACATGTTTTGTTTTTATAGGGACTTTCTGGTGGCGGTGACTCTCAATGAATAGTTTTTCTTTAGATAGTTCAGACGTGATTAATATAATCATATATATTGTAATATTATTCAAAAATTCCCGGTTTGTTTTGGCACAGGAAGCTAAGGCATCCAGTTCAGTTTTTCCATACAGGAACAGAATTCAAAGTTTCCAAATGAAACCCCCAGAGATATTTTTTTAGTGAGCTCCAAATTTCTTACAAATCCACAGTTCCTGACTATAGAGACGAATAGTATAATTTATATGGTCTTCTACATGAAATACAGTCCCTTCTTTATTGTGACTGGCTTATTGGTTTGTTTCCTACGAGATGAAACCCGTAAACAGAGGGGAAGCAAACAGCCAAGCTATACACAGCGAGGAAGATGCCAGAAACAACACCAAAGGCAGAGCAAAGGCAGGCCTCTTTAGTGTACATTTCCCAAAGGCAGAGCAAAGGCAGGCCTCTTTAGTGTACATTTCCCAAAGGCAGAGCAAAGGCAGGCCTCTTTAGTGTACATTTCCCACGGAGCCTCTGCTGACTGCTATCTACTGCCTTTCGGGAGGCAGGATACATCCAAGCCCCTCCCAGCTGCTTATCCACGGTGGGGAAGCAGAGCAGCTATGAGCACAATGCAGGGGACACCTTGGGGGGGGTCAGGGTTTTTTTTTTTTTTTAAAAAGAAAACAAACTATACTTTATTTGCACAGATACATTGGAATGCTTCTTTTTGCACATCCAATTTTCTCCCTTTTGAGACAGACAGACAAGACACACACACACAGGTTTGGGGACCATCCATTCATTTCTATGGGGAAAACTCTAATCCCAACATAACAACCTTAACCCCTACCCAGCCCTAACCTTACCCATAAGTAAGAAAAAAAATAAGTCTTTTGACATATAAAAATTTTTGATCGCAGTCACAGATTTTTAGAGTTTCCTCTTGTGGGGACTGAAAAAATGGTCCCCACAACGACAAAATAACAGATTTTTATTTGTGGGCACCACAATGTAATATATATCTAGACCACACACACACACACACACACACACACACACACAGAAAGACACACAC